CATGTGGCCAGTGACTGCGCTGTTAGACAGGCACAGCTCTAGAGGGGAAGACAAACAAGAAAGACGGAAGCGACACGATAGGTGTCACAGAAAAAACGTTGAGCAAAAGAAGCCAGGTTCAGAAATAGTAGATACTGGGCGATGCCATCATATGAAGCTCAAAAGTAATCTTTGATGGAGGTCAGGGGAGCGTCGCCTTCAGGGCTGTGGATGGGGCAGCGTGAGCCAGACTTCCAGGCTGCAGAAACGCTCTGTGTCTTGTTCTCGTAGTGGCGGTCAGGGTGTGTGCACAGGTTAATTCGAATCCATTGATTTTCATGTAAACTCAAGATCTGGACACCTTACTGCATCAAGTTTTACTTAACATATATATTAGGTATTATTAATAATTATTTCTAGTATGTATGTATAATCCTATCTAGTGTGTATGATTAAGTGCTATGGCCGCCTCCTGGTCTCCTTGCTTTTCCACTCTAGCCAGTAACTCCCTCCAGCCACCCACACCCCCATTCTCACCTCCACTTTCCCACCCCTCACCTCCTCAGCCCCTTCCCATCAATTCTTCCCAGAACAGCTGGAGGAGTCTTTTTAATAGGCAACTCCCACATGTCAGTCCCCAGGTTCAAAGCCACCGCTGGGTCTCTGAATCCACTACTTTCCTGACACCAGGGCATTTGCACTTGCTGGCCCTCTGCCCAGAACACCCTGCCGGTGATCTCCGCCTGGCTGCCTCCCTCTCAGGCAGAAGCCCACACCAGCTACAGCAGGCCCCATCTCCTGGTTTTACTCTATTCACAACACTTAGGACTCTCTGAAATTATTCGCCTTTCTTTTTAATCATTCATCTCGCCCTGCTAGAACCTCAGCTCTGGGAGGGCAAGGATCTTCTGCTCTCTTGTTCACTGTGTCCCTTAGCCCCTTGGACATTGAAGGTGCCAAATGCGCTACTGCTGAACGAATGCGGACATTGCAATACTCTGTTCCATTTCTCTCTCTGATCTCATCGCCTGTTATTTCCACTCTCCCTCACTCCTCTTTGCTATCCCTTAAATATGCCAGCACATTCCCGCCCCTAGACCTTTGCCCTGGCTGGCCCCTCCACCCAGAACGCTCTTCCCGCAGAGATCTCCTCTTAGGAAAGACTTCGCTCCCTTTAGGTCTTTGCTTAAAATTCACTTTCTTGGTAAGGTTTCCCCAGCACCCTGTTTAAAACTGCAACCTTTTCTCACACCCCCACGTCTGACACCCCTTCCTTATCTTTTCTCACCGCAGGTTTCATCACCTAGGATATATTCTACATTTTACCTGCTTGCCTCATACATTAGCTCCACAAGGGCAAGGATTTCCACCTATCTTGCTCATGGCCCTATCCCTAACACGGAGAAAAGTAATGTACATATAGTAGGTGCTCAGTAAAATTTGCTGCAAGACTGAATGTCTGTCTCCCTTACCACACGTGAGCATGGGCAGGGGAGCTGGGTCACATTCACCTCTGGGGCTGCGGCACTCGGCACTGCCCCAGCACAGCTCCCAGGATGAGGGTGTTTTCTCTTTCCCCCCGGACACCCTGCACCCAACACTCCCTGCTGCCGCCCACTTCCGCCTCCGCCCACGCCACCTCCCACACCCACTCACCCTCCCCCAGCAGAACGGGCCTTAGGACAGGGACGGCGGAGGTGACTGCACCCGCCAGCTTCCTTACCAAAGTTCCCTTTCGTTCCTGGGAAAACGAGCCCCCGGTGAGGAGGAAGAAGAGGGAGAGGAGGAGCAGCAGCAGCTGCCGCAGCACCTTAGCCCAGAGGTGGTGGTGGCTTTTCTGAGGTCCGGCTACATACCCAGCACCTGCCATGTGACTGCCATGTGACCTGACCTGGAGGGGAGGTAATGAGGTGTGAACGCCCAGTCTTAGGGTTAACGAGAGAGGCCCCAAGTCCCTGCTCTCAGCCAAGAGGAACAAGCAGTGCGGGTGAAACGCACGTTTTCCCAGAATGGCTACATCCT